GTCTCTATTTGCAGATGACATGATTGCATATTTAGAAGACCCCATTGTCTCAGCCCAAAATCTTCTGAAACTCATAAGCAAGTTCAGCAAAGTCTCAGGATACAAAATCAATGTGCAAAAATCACAAGCATTCCTATACACTAATAACAGATTTAAAGAGAGCCAAATCAAGAATGAACTGCCATTCACAATTGCTACAAAGAAAATAAAATATCTAGGAATACAACTAACAAAGAATGTAAAGGACCTCTTCAAGGAGAACTACAAACCACTGCTCAACAAAATGAGAGGACACAGACAGAGAAACACTCCATGCTCATGGTTAGGAAGAATCAATATCATGAAAATGGCCATACTGCCCAAAGTAATTTATAGATTCAATGCTATCCCCATCAAGCTACCAATGACCTTCTTCACAGAACTGGAAAAAAACACCTTAAACTTCATATGGAACCAAAAGAGAGCCCACACAGCCAAGTCAATCCTAATCAAAAAGAACAAAGCGGGAGGCATCACACTACCTGACTTCAAACTATACTACAAGGCTACAGTAATCAAAACAGCATAGTACTGGTACCAAAACAGAGATATAGACCAATGGAACAGAACAGAGATCTTGGAGGCAACGCCACACATCTACAACCATCTGATCTTTGACAAACCAGACAAAAACAAGCAATGGGGAAAGGAGTCCCTGTTTAATAAATGGTGTTGGGAAAACTGGCTAGCCACGTGCAGAAAGCAGAAACTGGACCCCTTCCTGACACCTTACACTAAAATTAACTCCAGATGGATTAAAGACTTAAACATAAGACCTAACACCATAAAAACCCTAGAAGAAAATCTAGGCAAAACCATTAAGGACATAGGCAAGGACTTCATGACTAAAACACCAAAAGCATTGGCAACAAAAGTTAAATAGACAAATGGGACTTAATCAAACTCCACAGCTTCTGCACAGCAAAAGAAACAGTCATTACAGTGAATCAGCAACAAACAGAATGGGAAAAATTTTTTGCAAGCTACCCATCTGACAAAGGACTAATATCCAGAATCTACAAAGAACCAAAACAGATTTACAAGACCAAAACAAGCCCATTCAAAAGTGGGTGAAGAGTACAAACAGACACTTTACAAAAGAAGACATATATGAGGCCACAAGCAAACATATGAAAAAATGCTCATCATCACTGGTCATCAGAGAAATGCAAATCAAAACTACATTGAGATATCATCTCATGCCAGTTAGAATGGCGATCATTAAAAAATCTGGAGACAACAGATGCTGGAGAGGATGTGGAGAAATAGGAACACTTTTACACTGTTGGTGGGAGTGTAAATTAGTTCAACCATTGTGGAAGACAGTGTGGTGATTCCTGAAGGATCTAGAAATAGAAATTCCATTTGACCTAGCAATCCCATTACTGGGTATATACCTAAAGGAGTATAAATTGTTCTATTATAAGGACACATGCACATGAATGTTCATTGCAATACTGTTTACAATAGCAAAGACTTGGAACCAACCCAAATGCCCATCGATGATAGACTGGACAGGGAAATGTGGTACATATACACCATGGAATACTATGCAGCCATAAAAAACAATGAGTTCGTGTCCTTTGTAGGGACATGGATGAAGCTGGAAACCATCATTCTCAGCAAACTGACACAAGAACAGAAAATCAAACACCGCATGTTCTCACTCAGAGGAGGGTGATGAACAATAAGAACACATGGACACAGGGAGGGGAGCATCACACACTGGGGTCTGTAGCGGGGAACTAGGGGAGGGACAGCAGGGGGTGGGGAGTTGGGGAGGGATAACATGGGGAGAAATGCCAGATATAGGTGATGGGGGGGAAGGCAGCAAACCACATTGCCATCTATGTACCTATGCAACAATCTTGCATGTTCTTCACACGTACCCCAAAACATGAAATGCAATAAAATATATATTTAAAAAAAAGGCACATGTTACTGCACCTGGCTGTGTTTCTATCCTAATTTTTTTTAACTTTTACTTTAGGTTCCGGGGTACATACGAAGGCTTGCTCCGTAGGTAAACTATTTTTTCTGCTCCTCTCACCCTCCACACTCAAGTAGACTCCAGTGTCTGTTGTTCCCCTCTTTGTGTTCATGAGTTCTCATCATTTAGCTCCCACTTATAAGTGAGAACATGCAGTATTTGGCTTTCTGTTCCTGCATTAGTTTGCTGAGGATAATGGCCTCCAGCTCCATCCACGTTCCTGCAAAAGACAAGATCTCATTCTTTTTTATGGCTGCATAGTATTCCATGGTGCACATGCACCACATTTTCTTTATCCAATCTGTCACTGATGGGTTGACATGATTCCATGTCTTTGCTATTGTGAACAGTGCTGCAATAAACATCTGCATGAGTGTGGCTTTACGGCAAAATGATTTATACTCCTCTGGGTATATACCCACTAATTTTTTAAATATTTAAGTGACGTTTTAAAAATTAATAGTTCAAAGCTTATTCTTTCACATCGTTACTTATGAGATTAGTTTATTATAAAAAGAAATGTTTAATTAAAATATAGTACATGTCTTGGCTGGGCACGGTAATGCCTTGGCTAATGCCTGTAATCCCAGCACTCTGGGAGGCCAAGGCAGGCAGATAAACTGAGGTCGGGAGTTTGAGACCAGCCTGACCAACATGGATAAACCCCGTCTCTACTCAAAGTACAAAATTAGGTGACCATGGTAGCACATGCCTGTAATCCCAGCTACTCTGGAGGCTGAGCCAGGAGAATAGGAGGTTGCAGTGAGCCAGGATTGTGTCATGGCACTCCAGCCTGGGCAACTAGAGCAAAACTCTGTCTCGAAAAAAAAAGAAAAGAAAAGAAAGAAAACATAGTACATGTCCGTAAATGTGGGTTTGTGGACAAGAGTCAATAATAAGGACCTGTTACATTATTAGAAATGTAGCTATTTGATCCAAAGTGGAATTTTCCAAGGCTTTGTAAAACCTAAAACCTTAAGAAAAGCCCCAAGAGGTAAACAGAATAAAAGATTTAAATGGGAAGAGAGCTTCCAGGGTCCAGGTCCAAGACTCCAGGAAGAGTCCAACACAGCTCAGTATGAAATCAGACTCGGCAAAACTGTGCTATACTCAATATACTACAAAAAGGGTGGGTTGTGTTTCCACAGAACTGGCCTTCTAAGGGAGAACTTTCCAGGCTTGACCCCATTTTGTGTTAAACTGCCACTTAGTGTCATTTTACTATCTGTTCCTCATCCTGATACCATGAGGCCAAAAAGTTCACACCCTTATTTTACAACTGAAAAACTGAAGTAAAATCAAAATCTATTCACACTGCATACTCCTTGCCTATCCGCTGGGACAACATTCCAACAGCTGAGTGACTTAGCGCTAGCTGTGCCCTCCTTTCAGTCACATCCTTCCCTGCAGTCACATTAAGTCATTTTCTTACCCTATAAAGACAACAGAAAATAAACACAGGGCTGTCAAGGAAAAGAGTCAATATCAGGGCTAACAAATGCTGTTGCTGAATATTTGCTGTAAAACTTAATGTGCACCGCTGGTCTGAGGGTTTTTGTAATTTGGAACCAAAAGCAGTGTTCATTAGAATTTACTTACTGACATAGAGGATAGTTTTGTCTCTGACCTTGAAACACGGTGAGAATATCACAGATGATACCACAAGGCATTCATGGGAAACATTTTTTATGAGCATGCAATACAAGGCTGAATGAAACCTGGTCTCTGACCATGAAACTGACAGTCCAGTGAGAAAGACAGACAAGCAAATCAATAATTTCCATAGAAAGTGACAAGTTCTCTGCAGAAATCAGGCACATGATGCTAGAAGAACACAGACAAGGTCAAATAAATCAGATGGGGTTGTCGGAAAAGGTTTCTCAGAGGAGCTGGTTTCTAAGCTGTCAGTATCAGAGTTTAACCAGCTCTGACTCTGACTTCAATTTCCAGCACTCAGGTGAGAAAGTACTTCCTGACCCTACTTTTCTGAGTTCCTGACACTGTCACAGCCAGATTTAGTGTCTGTATTCTAAGAGGCAAGGAAAGGAAGAAAACAAGGAAGGAAGGGAAGAAAGGGAGAAGTGGGGGAAGAGACAGGGAAGAAAGAAGGAAATAAGTAAGGGAGGGAGGAAGAAAGGGAGGAACGGAGGGAGGGAGGAAGACAGGGAGGGAGGGATGGTGGGCAAAAGAAACAGACAGGCTCCAGAAGTTGCTAGAGATGGCCAGGTACATGAAGGGTGACCATCTGTGCCTGAGCAACCTGCATCCTCAACAATGGTGTAAAATCTACCCTAGGATACCCTCCCTCTTTGTAAAGCAATGGCATAAGGAACACAATCTTCTTCAATCTGAGGAACGCTGGTGAGCCCAGCCAGTGAAGTGTTGCCTCCTTCCACAATCAAGAGCAGCAAAATGAATGCCCAATTCCTTTGCACTCCCAGAAAATGAGGTCAGACTCATGTGGTAACTCCTCAGGGTGACTTCTCCATGCAGAATGCACCCACCTTCCCAGAGATGGAACGTACGTGTGATTCTTTTTTTTTTTTTTTTTTATTTTTTTTTTTTTTTTTGAGGCAGAGTCTCACTCTGTCACCCAGGCTGGAGTGCAGTGGTGCCATCTCTGCTCACTGCAACCTCCGCCTCTCTGGTTCAAGTGATTCTTGTGCCTCAGCCTCCTCAGCAGCTGGGATTACAGGTGCACGCCACCATGCTCGGCTAATTTTTTTATATGTTTTTAGTAGAAACAGGGTTTCCCCATGTTGCCTAGGCTGGTCTCAAACTCCTGACCTCAAGTGATCTGGCTGCCTTGGCCTCCCAAAGTGTTGCGATTACAGGAGTGAGTCACCACGCCCTGCCCATTTGTGATTCTGTTCTTGCCTGCTGGAACCAAAAACAGCACCTACCTCCTTTGGGATACCATTCCCCACCGGGGACTCCACCAAGCATGTGAAAAGAAAGTGCAAGTCATTACCTTAGATCATCTTCCAGGGTCTCCTCATCCGAAGAGAAGGTCCCATTGCTGACACTCTGGTGAGAATAACTCTTCTTCCCCACTGACTGCGCCCGGAACAATGAAGTGTCTTTCTTTTTCCTTTTGCCAAACAACTTCTTAAAAGGCTGAAATTTTTTCTTCTTGCCTGTGGATTATAAAATAAACACAAGCTGCAGTGTGGCAGGGCTGCACTTCCGAGCCTAAGAGCAAATTACAACTGAGCTGCCTCTGGCCAAGGAGACAGGGCAAAGGGCAGGCATCAGGCTGAATAAGCAACCAATCCCTGTGCCAGGAACGTCAGGAACAGCCCCAGTGCAATCCATGCACAGTGAGGCAGGGCACGAGCCAAAGGCACGGTGAGTCTTCTGTCCCCAGGCTCCCAAGAAACATCTGGGAAGAACAAGAAGAGGTTCTTCTTGTTCTTCCAAGTGGCCAGGGCACAGTGGCTCATGCCTGTAATCCCAGACTTTGGGAGGCTGAGCGGGAAGGAACATTTAAGCCCAGGAGTTTGAGACTAGCTTGGGCAACACAGTGAGATCCCATCTCTTTAAATCTAAGAAAATTAGTCAGGGTGGTGGTACACACCTTTAGTCTCAGTGACTTGGGAAGGTGAGGCTGGAGGATTGATTACGCCCTGGAGGTTGAGGCTGCAGTGAGCTGTGACCACACCATTGCACTGCAGTCTGAGCAACAGAGTGAGATGAAAGAAAGGAAAGAAAGGAAAGAAGGGAGGAAGGGAGGGAGGGAGGGAAGCAAGGAAGGAAGAAGAGAAGAGAAGAAGAGAGGAGAGGAGGGGAGGGGAGGGGAGAAGAGAAAAAGAAAAGAAACAGATTTCAAGCTTCTTGGTAGCCAGCACATGCAATAAGGCAGTGCCTGCTTTCTTTAACAAAGCAGATGGCTAAATGCCCCTCTCCATGGAAGAAGCTGAGAAAAACACGTAAGTCAAACAGGTGTTTTTAAAAATATTTTTATCTGTATCTATACATATCTCCAGTTTGAGGATCATTCCATTTTGGCCTTTGTTAGATGTAGAAGATAACTGCCAACTCTTGGCATAAGCTTTGCCCCCTAATTCCCTCTATCCCCATATATTTCCAGTTTATTTCTCTTGTCTCTTTTTAAAATCTACTATGAAGGGCCCCAAAGGAGTTACTATGAACATCTTCCCATATATTACTTCATTAGTCAGGACCTAGGCTTGCTGCCAACATTTGCTAGGAGGTATTTTAGGTAATACCTTTCAGTCCTCTGCCTTTGGATACGAATTCCTTCATATTACTCCACTCTTTCCTTAGAAAAGAAAGTGTAAGTCACTCTCTACCAAAAGCAGCATCTTCTTGGATCTTTCCTTTTTCTTTAAGAATTTAAAGAGACACTTTTCTAGTGGTCTAACAACCATTTTAAGAAACTTTTTTTTTTTTGAGATGGAGTTTCATTCTTGTTACCCAAGATGGAGTGCAATGGCATGATCTTGGCTTCCTGCAACCTCCACTTTCCAGGTTCAAGCTAGTCTCCTGTCTCAGCCTCCCAAGTAGCTGTGATCACGGGCGCCTGACACCATGCCTGGATATACATATATATATATATATATATACACATTTTTTTTAAGTAAATGTGGTATTTCACCATGTTGGCCAGGCTGGTTTTGAACTCCAGACCTCAAATGATCCGCCTGCCTCAGCCTCCCAAAGTGCTGGAATTACAAGTGTGAGCCACTGCACCTGGCCTAAAAAAATGTTTTAACCCTTACTATGTGCCATGGCTCTAAGAACTTTATAAATATTAACCCAGTTAATCCTCACAACAATCCTATTACGTTGATACTATTAACATTTCCATTTTACACATGAGGAAGCTGAGACATGAAGAGATAAAACAGCATGCCTACATCATAGGAAACATATCTTTGAAGAGGGAGTCAGAAGTTTTGAGAGAGAAGCAAAAATAGAAGCTTGTGACCTGAATTGTAAAACACCTGCACGAAATACAGACACAATTCCCCTCACCTTCTACCCAGCTATCAGAGGCCCCAGAGCTCTGCTGGCCAGAATCCATAGAGGAATCCAGGTACACAAATGAGGTTAATGAGGAAACAAGCCAGACATCTCATTTCCTCTGTGATCTTCAATTCTGGCTTTACTGAGATGTCACAGAAAATTTGAAGTGCTGCCAGGTGTGGTGGCTCATGCCCGTAATCTCAGCTACTTGGGAGGTTCAGGTGGGAGGATCATTTGATCCCAGGAGTTCAAGACCAGCCTGGGCAACAATTTTCCCATCTCTAAAAAATTTTTAAAAAGTAGGTTGGGCGTAATGGCTCATGCCTGTAATCCCAGCACTTTGGGAGGCCAAGGTGGAGGACCATGAGGTCAGGAGATCAAGACCAGCCTGGCCAAGATGCTGAAATCCCACCTCTACTAAAAATACAAAAATTAGCCAGGTGTGGTGGCAGGTGCCTGTAATCCCAGCTACTTGGGAGGCTGAGGCAGGAGAATCGCTTGAACCCGGGGAACGAAGTTTGCAGAGAGCAGAGATCATGTGACTGCACTCCAGCCTGGGTGACACAGTGAGACTCCATCTCAAATAAATAAATAACAAAATCTGAAAAGAAGTGCTTCAAACTACTTCATCCTAAGTAGTGGCATAAGACGCTGAGGATGCAGACAGAATAATAACCCATTACAAAAAGACAGTCATCTAGGAGCATAGGACGGGTGCAAACAGCCTCCAGCATTAGTGCTCCCCTGAAACGATCCTGTGTCAGATCACATTTAGCAGGAAAGGATATTTAAAACGTACCGGATGCTTGCTATACATAGGCACTGGTGCTAGGTACAAAAAAGAATGACATTATTTTTACTGTGTATTATTTGAAAGACAGGAAAGTGTGTGATACAGTTTAGATGTTGTTCCCTCTAGATTTCATGTTGAACTGTAATCCCCAGTATTGGAAGTGGGGCTTGGATCACTGGATCACGGGGGTGGAGCCCTCATGATCTGGTGCTGTCCTTGTGATAGTGACAGACTGCTTGTGAGATCTGGTTGCTTAAAAGTGTAGCACTTACAAAATTAGCAGGGCGTGGTAGCCCTGCTACTCAGGTAATCCCAGCTACTCAGGACGCTAAGACAGGAGAATCACTGGAACCCAGGAGGCGAAGGTTGCAGTAAGCTGAGATCGTGCCACTGCATTCCAGCCTGGGTGACAGAATGAGACTCTGTCTCAAAAAAAAAAAAAAAAAAAAGGCTTCCTAACCTTTTTTATCATTAGCCCCTAACCTTGCTCCTGCATTCGCCATGTGTCCTGCCTGCTCCTGCTTTGCCTTTCACCCTGTAGAGCTCGCTGAAGCCTCCCCAGAAGGCAACAGATGCCGGTGCCATGCTTCCTGTACAATCTGCAGAACTGTGGGTTAATTAAGCCTCTTTTTTTTCTCTAGCAATAGGGTGTCACTCTGTTGCCCAGGTTGGAGTACCAGGGTGCGATCTAAGCTCACAATAACCTCCACCTCCCAGGATCAAGCAATTATCGTGCCTCAGCCTCTGGAGTAGCTGGGATTACAGGCACGTACCACCGCTCCCAGCTAATTTTTGTATTTTTAGTGGAGACCGGGTATCACTGTGTTGGCCAGGCTGATCTCCAACTCCTGACCTCAATTAATCTGCCCACCTTGGCCTCCCAAAGTGCTGGGATTTCAGGCATGAGCCACCGGACTCAGCCACCTCTTTTCTTTATAAATTACCCACTTTCAGAAATTTCTTTATAACAATGCAAGAATGGCCTAACACATCACGTAATACGACTGAGATCATATCATTTAAAAATGGTTAAAAAAAATGGAGGGTTTGATTTCAGAATATTAGTATCTTTTCAGTGGTTATTTATTCAGGAATGAATGTAGGCCAGTGATTTTCATGACACCTACTTTAGGTTCTTATGAGTAAAATCTCCAGTGAATAATATTTAAGAACTATAATAAGTAGTTTTTGAAGACAATCCAAGAGCATTGGGCATGTGTTAAAAGAATGCCCTGAGAGAGATCCATGATGGCCGACTAGCAGCAGCTCCCAGTGAAGGCGCAGGGAGTAAGTGGACGCCAGACTTTCAGACGAATTTTTGTTGCCTACGGACCAGGAGATTCCCAGCGGAGGAGCCCCACAGGTTGCCAGCGCAGCTCTTTTGGCTGGTGCGGCTGTTTTGCCAGCGTCCCGGTGTGGTGGTTTTCAGTGCGGAGTATGCAGGACTGGGTGCCCTTTTAGTTGGCGTTTGGATCTCTGGGAAGGCAGAGTCGCCCATTCTGCTGATTGAAATGGGGACTGAAGCTGGGAGCCAGACCAGGAGATTCCTGGGCAGAAAAGTGCCACGAATCTCAGTGCAGCTGTTTCAGCCGGCACGGTCCCCGCATGGGAAATTGCATAGATCCCAGTGCCTTTTCGGAGGGGGACTCGGACACCTTGGAGAGAATCAGCATTCAATTAGGAAAAGAAAAAAAGGGGGCTCCGAGGTGGGGAGCCAGGTGATTGGGCTCAGCTGGTCCCACCCCCACAAAAAAACAGCAATTGGAAATGCTGATGGTTGAGAGTTTCTCATCAAACACAGCTGAACCCGGGAAGGTCCAGCTCTGTGATGGAGGGGTGTCCACCGAAGGAAAACAAAGAAACAGAAATAATATCACCACCAACAAGCTGGACGTCCACTCAGAGACCCAATCTGAAAGTCAGCAATTACAAAGACGACAGGTGGATAAATCCACGAAGATGGGAAGAAACCAGTGCAAAAAGGCTGAAAATATTGGAAATCAGAATGCCTCTCCTCCTTCAGGGGATCACTACTCATCATCAGCAAGGGAACAAGGCCTGATGGAGAATGAGTGTGATGAATTGTCAGAATCAGGCTTCAGAAGGTGGCTAATAAGAAACTTCTGTGAGCTAAAACAACATGTTCTAACCCAATGCAAAGAAACTAAGAACCTTGAAAAAAGGTTTGATGAAATGCTAACGAGAATAGGCAATTTAGACAGGAATATAAGTGAATTAATGGAGCTGAAAAACACAATACGAGAACTTCGAGAAGTATGCACAAGTTTAACAGTCAAATTGATCAAGCAGAAGAAAGGATATCAATGGTCAAAGACCAACTCAATGAAATAAAAC